AAATGAAAAAAACCCATAGATATGAACAATTTTCAAACTCATTTGTAAACAAACAATGAATGACCATATTCACATGTTAAATGATAATGGGAAGAGTATAATATGATAAGCACTCTTGGTATCATACCTGACTGATCAGCATACACATTGATATGACTTTCTGATTGTTTTTTGCTTTCAAAGCTCATAATTTCTTTATTTCTTTTCTTAATTTAGTAAACTTTATTTTTAGGGCAGTTTTAATTTTACAGAAAAATTGAATAGAAAGTACAGAGAGCTCCCATAGATTCCCTTGCCCACCCCCAATACAGTTTCTCCTATTGTTGTGGTGCATTTGAAATAAATCACCAGGTCAGTCTTGAAGCAAGACATGGGACTTTATTCACAGATGTGGATCGGAATGGCAGTAGGCAAGTTGCCTCTACAACCTTCAACCCCTTGCCAGAGGTAGGGTATCTCTTTTATAGCCCAAAACTACAAGTCAAAACCATAGCAATATAGGAAGTGGGTCAGAATGACCCAGTTCAAGATACAGTACACTGCCTAAGAAAAATGGGAATTAAAATGAGAACATTTTACAAATGCATTTTTAAATAATACATTGTATAAGAATAACAGAAACACTTTCAACCACCCTGCATTGCCAAACAGGATATGCTTAGAAGGAGGTGGCAGAGGCAGGGTTTTCTCAGGAGAAGCATTTCTTATATGAAATGGAGTCTAAGGGTAAAAAGGAGTTTGTCTGGTCAAGGCACATGTAATTTGGCCCATAACACTACTATTAACATATTGCATTGATGTGGTATATTTGCTTTAATTGACAAGCCAGTGTCGATACATTATTAACTATTGGTTTACACAGGGTTCATTCTTTGTCTTATAAATTATATAGATTTGGGGCTGGGATTGTGGCTCAGCTGTAGAGCGCTCGCCTAGCATGGGCGGGACCCAGGTTCGATCCTCAGCACCACATAAAAATAAAAGCATTGGGTTGTGTCCATCTACACCTAAAAAATAAATATTTAAAAAAAAATTATATAGATTTTCACAAATGCCTAAAGATATGTATCTCCCATTACAGTAGCATACATTAGTTTCATCACCCTAAAAATCTCCTGTGCTATGCTTACTCATCCCTTCATCCCTTTCCTTGGACTATTGGCAACTACTGATCTTTTGACTATCTCCATAGTTTTGTCTTTTCCAGATGTCTTATAGTTGGACTCATATAGCATATAGGCTTTTCATATAGTATATTGAGTCATATATAGTATATTGGCTTCCCCACATAGTAATGTACTTTTTTGGGTTGGGAGGTACCAGGGATTGAACTCAGGGCACTCAACCACTGAGCCACATCCCCAGCCCTATTTTATACTTTATTTAGAGACAGGCTCTCACTGAGTTGCTTAGTGCCTCACTTTTTGCTGAGGCTGGCTTTGAACTTATGATCCTCCTATCTCAGCCTCTGAGCTGCTGGGATTACAGGTGTGTGCCACCGTGCCGGGCTACTTAGCAATATACTTTTTTTTTTTTATTAGCTACACATGACAGTACAATGATCTTGGCAATTTTAATATATTAAAAGTATATTAGCAATATACTTTTAAGGTACATTTTCAGATCTTTTCATGGCTTAATGGCTAATTTATTTTAATTGCTGAATACTATTGAATAGTATGGATATCTTGGTTGCTTTCGAGTTTTGACAGTTATACATAAAGATGTGATAAAAGAATCAAGTGAAAGTTTTTGTGTGGATGTTAAGGTTTCAACTCACTTGGGCAACAGCATATTTAATTTTGTAAGGAACTGCCAAACTGACTTTCAAAATGGCTGGGGCACAGCATTTGGTGTTATCAGCATTTTGCATTTTAGCCATTCTAATAGGAGGTTAGTAGTATCTTGTTGTTTTAGCATGCAATTCTCTAATGATATATGATGTTGATGTGACCATATTTTAATTTGCTGATTTGCCGTCTATATATATTTTATGGTAAAATTTCTGTTCAGAACTTTTGTCTATTTTTTTTTAAATTGTGATATTTGTTTCCTTATTGAGTTTTATAAGATCTTTTTGTTCTGTTTTATTTGTTTTGTCTATTTGGGGTATCAGTCCATTATCAGTTGTATGTTTTGAAAGTGTGTGTTTTGTTTTCCTAGTCTGTGGCTTGCTTTTTTAATCTTTTGACATTGTCTTACCAGAGCAAAATTTTTAATCTTAATGAAGCCCAACTTATCAATGTTTTCTTCCATAGATCATGTGTTTGTATCCCCTATGTTATTTTCTGGGATTTTCATAGTTTTACATTTTATACTTGGAACTATGATCATTTTGAGTTACCTTTTGTGAAAGATGTAAGATCTGTGTCTGGATTCATTTTTTTCCATGTGGATGTTCAGTTGTTCCAGAACCATTTGTTTAAATATTGTCCTGTCTCTACTGAATTGCCTTTGCTTCCTTTTCAAAGATAATTGACTACATATTTGTGAGGCTGTTCTGGGCTCACTGTTCTCTGCCATTGGTCTTTTTGTCTATTATTTGACCAATACTATCTTGTTTACTGTAACTTTATGGTTTGAATTGTGGTGCTGGGGATTGAACTCAGGGGGCTTCAAGCATACTAGGCAAGGACTCTGCCATTGAGCTGAATCCCAGCCCCTATGGTAAATCTTGAAGTTGTGTAGTATCAGTTCTCTGACTTTGTTCAATATCATATTGGCTATTCTGAGTCTTTTGCCTTTCCATATAAACATTAGAATCACTTTGCCTATATCCACAAAATAACTTACTGGGATTTTGTTTTGGGATTGCATTGATTTTGTTTATCAAGTTGGGAAGAACTGATATAACAATATTGAATATTCTTATCCATAATATGGAATATCTCTTCATTTATTTAAATCTTTTGATTTCTTACATCAGAATTTTATAGTTTTCCTATCTGGATAGAAAGAAATATTGGAGGGGACTTGTCTGTGAGCTGTTTCCCTCCTCCCCTGCAGCAAGTGAATTATGGAGTTTCAGGGACACTTTTCCAGAGCCTGACAAGTGTTATGTAGGGTTTGGTTTATTATACTTCTTGAGAGAAGTCTATAATGAATAGCTTATCTATAGTTGGCAAAGTAAAGAGTATTGCCTTCTTGGTGTTATGTGACACTCTCCCCAGAGGAGGGCAAAGTTAAAAAACCTGCTTCTTATGAACCATATACAGGCCCTAGAAAAGGGACATCTTAAAAAGAATCCTACTAAAGGGGACCATCTAGTGGGACCACCACAAATATAAAAACTGCTGAGAGTTCAGGGCTGGGCAGGAGCATGTATAAATAAGGCTCAGTAACCTAGTCCTCTGCTTCTAAAGTCCCCAGACATCACACCAGGACCACTCAGGTAGGGCCTTATTTCCCCACAATACCTCTCTCTCCTACTCTCTCAACCTCAGAGGGGCCCAACATAGCAGCTACCAGAGATAGAAGGTATAAGGTAAGAAGAAAAGAAACTTACTCCTGTTTTACTAAAACCCAAACCTAAAATAGTCCTTTCAACTTGTTCTATAAATTTGCACATCCCAAAACAATGGGAAGCAAACACATCAAAATGTTAAAGGTGTTTTTCCACCTCCCTCATGCTTTGGTGATCAAGCAAGGGCAGATAAGCATATTGCCACCACACCCAGTGATACTGATCATTTGTAATAAATGTCAAGTACTTATGCATTTTAATAATTGCCAGAGCTTATTAAATAAACTTTCTAGTGGACAGAAGATATGAAGTCCAGGATAGAGCTAAAGCGACTGAGGACTACAATAGGATTAAGTTTTCTTAATCAAGTTTATGAGATGTTATTCCACGGTGGATATTATGTGTCTCAAGGTTAGAACAAGAACAAACCCAGCGATTAGTAAAATGGGATAATCTACTGGGAAAGAGATGTTTTCACTCATGATTAAGAAACTGGTTCACATCTTTATACTTTTTAAGTGAAGACAGTCAAATTTAATAATTTAATGGAATCTAGTTTATGAAACTTTAGACTCATTGTGGCAAGATGACCATTGGTATACTAGAAAGACAACACTGTGACACTTTTGAGTTAGAGCTCATGATATCTCCAGCTAGATATTGTACATGCTCTATCAGTGAAGGTGGGAAGTGGGGAAAAGCCCAAAGAACCAAAATTTTGCGGTGTTCAACCCTCAGAATCAATCTGTCCTGCAGATGTAAATCTACAATGGAATGCACGACTCAGGTAGAACATTTCAGTGACACACTGAGTCTACATACCCACTGTGGCAACTTCTGACTACCATGTGGCTTCCCTTCTTGATGTGCCTATTAGGTATTTCTACACTTATTATTATATTGTAAATATTCATTGGAGAATACTACATCAGTCAAATGTCAACTAACAGTTTGAAAATATTGGATATCTTTTTCTTCATTAGTGAAATGGAAATAGATTAATTCATCTGTTGTTTACTTCTAAAGTTCTGTAGCTTTATAAAATTAGTTTATCTCTATGGGCTGGGGATATAGCTCAGTTGGTAGAGTGTCGCCTCGCATGCACAAGCCCTGGGTTCAATCCCCAGACCATAAAAAAAAAAAAATTAATTTGTCTCTAAACAAAGTAATAAAATTGTTTTGCCCAGATGTAATTGAAAATATTTCATAGCATGCTAAGGATGTTCATACTACATTGTTAAAATTAAAAATTAATGTGTATAATTTGAAACCACATATGTATATATAAATACACTTGAATACACAAACACACACATATACATACATATACACATTAAGTTATAGTACTCTATCAATTATTGATTGATTGTTATTGCTTATTCCAGAGTGGGGTAAGATTTTTATACCTGTGTAGTCAATTTTATTTTCCTCTTCTTGCTCTTCCATAATTTCTATTTAAGAGCTGATTAATTTTATGACAGAAAATAACATTCACATCTGAAAAAAAGTCTTTGTTTTGTTCATTGTTTTAATTCAGCACTGCATGAAGGCTAATGTACTGAAGGAAGACCCAACAAGGGACCTGAAACAGCTTCTCCAAGAACTGAGAAGTGTGATTAATGAGGAACCATCCTTGCCTCTGACCAAACCTGAGGAGAGTGGGAGAACACCATCTCTCGGAGCCTTGTATGTGCTGTATGGGACCAAGCACACTCGGAGTAGGAAGCTCCTCTCATGAGTGGTTTGCGATTAAGTTGTCCACGTTACTCTCTGGGAAGCTGAGGTTTAAATAATTTGTAAGAGTGTCTGAAGTTAGCAGGGGGAAGCAATATGAAAGTGGAGGAGTTAGACAAAAATTAACCAAAAGCAAAAAAAAAAAAAAAAGCTTGACATCAATAAAAAATAATATAGTCATTCATTCAAAAAGTAGCCAGTCCAAGGTGTTACTCAAAGTTATATTTGTATAGGAATTTATAATTCCCAGCATATTTGAGAGCCATAATCTTATTTGACCATCACAACAACCAGCACCTGTTTGCTTGCAACACATGCTCCAATGGTGGAGCTAAAACTAGAAACTTGAGAACTGTATAACACCCTCAATGTAAACTAGGGAAGAACCTTCATTCCCTAGGCATTCATGACAATTACGCATACCCAATTAATAAAAGGTCAGAGCCAAAAAGGATTTAGTACCTCACTAGTCTGTACTGTGGAAATCAATGAGATTCTCATATTCTTTTCAAAAATGCTTTTTAACTTTATTGTGCATTGTCATTTACCCTACCTTATCTTAAAGCATTTTAAAATGATGTATATTTTTTATATTTTTTCATTTTTCTAATATTTATTTCTGGTTATTTGGCAAATATCTAAAAATACTACTTTCTGATATAATATCTATATAAACAATATCCAGTTCCTTAAGATGTTCAATTAGTATATATTTACTCAAGGTGCCAAAATATTTGCTGGATTTGTCTCATTGTTATAAATATTATTAATAATAATAGTAAAATATCAGTAACAGTACAATTGCCTAACATATCATTGCATTGTTTGAATCATGTATTGTCAGAAATGTTCTGTTGGCCACTCCATTAAAGAATACTTTCACTTGAAGAACACTTTCATTTTTGTCATAACTATAATATGCCTTCTAAGACAGAATAGTAATATTTAGTTCATTAGATAGATGAGTGAATTTGGACATAGATTAACTCGCCTCCTTCTATGAAGCTAAGAAACAAACCCAGAAGTAAAAGCTAGAACCCCTGGCTCCTAGCACTGATCATCCACAGGATTAACATGGCTTCCCTGGCCAGGTTTCCATCGCTCCTGCCACTAGTGACACACTTGAGCTGTTTGGACTGTGTCAAACATGAATGTATTTGATCCCTGCCTTTAGAGAACTTACGTTAATTTTTTGTAATCCTACAAAACGACCTTTGTCATGACAGCCTACATTCTGCCTAACACTTAAGAATCCATAGAAGGAAATTATTTTTGATTTTATGAATTCCAGAGGTAACCCTTTATTAAATTTGTTTGGAGGCCTAAAATCCACATTTTTAGCTCATAAAAAATTGAATTCATGTGAGCAATTGATTTTTAAAAAGACATAGAATCTGGAAATTGACCTATATATAATTAACTGAAAATTATATGTGTCTGCACAGAAATGAAAGAGTAAGAGATTGCATGACTGAATCAAGCATGAGATCAGAGATATGCCATAGGTAAGAAGAATCTGAAAATCTGAATCTAATTAATTATCCAGGATTTATATGTGGGCTGGTAACTTACAAAGTCTATTTGGATTGTTTTCATGGAACTTCATGGGCATATTGGTTTCAGTGAAGAAAACTCGTTCCATTGTTAAATTGACTCTAAAAGGGATTTCAATGAAATGAACTTAATTTACTTTCTAGAAACCAACTTTATAGGCATCTCTTTTTTGCTTATTTTAGATTTCACTGATTATGTCAGCTTTCTCTCACTATAACAAAATTCCTGGAGATGTCATCTCAGCAACTCAGAAGGATGAGGCAAGAATATCACAAACTCAAGGCCAGCTATAGCACTTAGTGAGATCCTATATTAAAATCAAATATAAAAAAGAACTGGGGATGTAGCTTTGTGGTAAAGTGCCCATGGATTCAATCCCCAGTACAAAACAAACAACAGCAACAAAAAACTGAGATAATTAACTTATAAAGGGTTTATTTAGTTCATAGTTCTAGAAGTTCCAGTTTAAGATCTGGTAGACCCATTGCTTTGGGACTCTGTTGGGCTTCCTGATAACAATGATGGGAAACAAGTGATGGAGCAAACTGCTCACATCATTTACAGGAAGCAAAAGAGAAATAAAAAGAGCTGGTTCCTACAATCTCCTTTGGGCCCATGCCCCAATGACCTAAGGACCTCCCATAAGGTCCCATCTCCTAAAGGTTCCACACCTTCCAATAGCACCATCCTCGGGACCAATCCTTCCGCACATGGGCCTTTGAGGAATTATGAACATCCAGTCCATAGCACTGATATTTAGCCATCTGACGCTATTTATTATAAGGCATGCCATACCAAAAAGATTGTTCTATACATGTTTACAATGGCTTATATAAATGTAAAGAGAAGAACGGTCCAGAAGGGAATTATAACAACCTCAACACAGGTTTATAAAAACCTTACTAAAAACAAGTCTACTTTCATCAGTAGTTGAATAGCTGAATTTTAAATGAACTCATTAAATAATAAGAACATAAAAAAATGAAATCCACAACCTTAAAGTAAGATACAAAAAAAAAAAAAAAATCAAGACAACTTCTGAGAACACTTTAGCCAAAAAGGAAAAACAGATTACTATTAATTTATTATTCATTGCTTGATATTTTCAGTAACTCACTGCCTTTTGCAAGAAGTACATTATCCCTTGGTCTGCACTGAAGAATCTCCTAATTTATCAGCCGTCTGCCTTTACTCCCATTTTATGTTCTAATCAAACCAGATTACTCCCAATTCCCAGAGCTTCATGTCTTTTTGTCTTCAAGCTTTTCTGTATATAATTTTCTCTCTACCTGGAAAAGTCAGAGGCCCAGACTCCTTTGAATCTGCATCTGTCTGAGAGTAATATTCAGATGAACTATTTTATTTTATTGTATAATTTTGTTATATAATTAATGCTCAGTGATATGTTAACCTGTCTACCATATGGTATCATTTCATCCTGGATGAGACTAAATCAGGCTAGGGTGTAGCATGCACAAGGCTCTTGGTTCAGTCCCCTGTGACAAAACAAAACAAAACAAATTATTTCTCTCACAGACCTTTACTAGACTGATAAGGAAGTAACATTGTGTAGTATTTAATTTTTCTCATTCTTCTACTGACAGAAGCAACAATTCATTAAGGGACTCTACCGAAGGGAGCAAGTCCAGTGAAACACTCAGCAGGTAAGAAATTATCTTACCAGCCTCCAATTTTCAAAATGTACCTTTTACTATTCTTCATTAATTAACTCAAAGATTATTTAGTAGGGGCTGGGACTGGGGCTTAGTGGTGGAGTGCTCCTCTTGCATGTGTAGGCCCTGGGTTTGATACTCAGCACGACATAAACAAAATAAAAGTATTGTGTCCACCTACAACTAAAAAAATATTTTTTAAAAAAGATTATTTACTATCCATAATGTGACATGTGCTGTGCTAAACCCTTAGAAAATTATAGTGAGCAAAATAGACCTATTCTCAAGGTCTACTTATTGACCAGCCACTGGCAAAAACTTATTTTTATTTTTTCTGTTTTTACCACTCATAAAAAATAGAGCTATCAGAGCCCTCTTTTTGTCTTAAGAGTAGGAAAATGGTTTCTACTGTTGTAATTTCAGTTAAGCTGAGGCTCATTCATCACCACATCTTCAGCACCAAGCATAATGCCTACCACCTAATAGCCCTTTAGTAAATATTTATTTAGGGAATGATTCAAGACAGCATTAAAAATATTATCTTACAGCCTCTGCTACTTGACCACAAAATTGTAAACTTGAGTCTTTCTAAATATACCTTTCTATTAATATAAAAAGTGAAATTTTGATTTCCCTTTCACTTGAGGATATAACACTACATAGTACCTATTAATAGTAACTTACTGTATTTTATTTTTTCTATTTTCTGGTTGTTTTAGACATATTTAATCTACCTCATCTAATCTATGAGGTAGGCATTATTTTCCCATATGTAGGTTAGAAATGAAAACTGAGAGATTTCTTCAACAATTTGATAAGGTTATATAACTTATACACAATGTACAGTCTCCTAAGTACATGCTAGTGACTCCTACTATGTACTGCCTTTGGGGACCAAAGCTGAACTACGTAGGTAGAGGTGGGTGGAGTAGTTACTCCCTTGAGACAACTAAAGCTCTCCATGACTTAGAAAAAATTGCTTTCTTCAACAATGAAATTACCAGAATACTACATTTTATGAGGGGGGAAAAAAACCTATATCCTTCAAAAAAATCATGGAGAGGATATTGTTCCATAGTTTAACGTATGGCTTAATAAAAGATAACTGGATATGCTGTGTCATTATTCTCATTTACTGCTAAGTATTTTTATTATTTCACTCTGATTTCTTCTGCTACACATTGATCATTCAATAACATATTGTTTAGTCTCCATGTGTTAGAATAGCTTCTATTTTATTTTATCATTGATTTCTAATTTTATTCTAATATGGTCTGATAGAATGCAACGTATTGTCTCTAGTTTTTGTGTTTGCTAAGAGTTGCTTTGTGGCCTAAGATATGGTCTATTTTAGAGAAGGATTCATGTGCTGCAGATAAGAAAGTATATTCAGTCATTAATGGACGAAATACTATATATATGTCTATTAAGTCTAAATTATTTAGTTCTATAGCTCTTTGTCCAGAATTGGAATTATCAAGAATACAAATAACAATAAATTTTGGCAAGGATATAGTGAAAAATGTACACCCATACATTGGTGGTGGGACTGCAAATTGGTACAACCAATCTGGAGAGCAGTATGGAGATTCCTCAGAAAACTTGGAATGGAACCACCATTTGACCCGGTTATCCCATTCCTCAGCATAACCCCAAAGACTTAAAATCAGCGTATAATGGTGACATGGCCACATCAATGTTTATAGCAGCTCAATTCACAATAGCTAAACTATGGAACCACCCTAAATGACCCTCAACAGATGAATGGATAAAGAAAATGGTGTAATATACACAACGGAATGTTGTATATACTATATATATACTATATACTATTCAACCAAAAAGAGGAATTAAATTATGGCATTTGCTGGTAAATGGATGGAACTGGAGACTATCATGCTAAGTGAAATAAGCCATCACAAAAAACCAAAGGCAAATGTTTTCTCTGATATGCAGATGATAACTCACAATAAGGGAGGGAGTAGGGAAGAATAGAAGTACTTTGGATTAGACAAAAGGGAATTAAGGGAAGGGGAATGGGAATAGGAAAGATAGTAGAATGAATCTGACATAACTTTCCTGTATTTTTATATGAATACATGACCAATGTAATTTCACATCGTGTACAGCCAGAAGAATAGAAAGTTGTACTCCACATATGTATAATATGTCAAAATATATTCTATTTTCATCTGTAACTAAAAAGAACAACAACAACAACAAAAGACAACTGGAACTGCTTGGGAGGCTGAGGCAGGAGCATTATAAATTCAAGGCCAACCTGGGCAATTTAGCAAGACCCTGTCTCAAAATAAATAAAAAGGGGTGAAGATGTAGCTCAGTGATAGAGCACTTGCCTAGCAAGTGCAAGCCTCTGGATTCAATACCCAGTATCACAAAAATAAAAGAAAAATAAAAATTGGATCTAACTTGCCATGATATCAGCTATCAGCACAGCACCTGGTAGGGGAACCCCTCTGGTATTTTCTGAGAACATCTTAATGAAAATAGCTTTGATCTCACAAACCACCTTGAGAACTGCTGTGACCTTCTTAGACTACCCAATTCACAAAGAACTGCATAGTTTAACTTTTTTATTTAATTAAGTCTTATACTTTTGTAAACTGATACTGCTAATGCTAAGAGATTTTTGTTGCTGCTGTCTTTGGTCTCTTCAATTTTAAATGAGTCATTAAGATGCATTTCTTAAAATTCATGAAAAGATGATTTGGGTTTGTAGGATTATTACTCAAACATGAATTTTTTGACCAAAATTATATGTTACTTCATCCTGAAAAATGTTCATGGGTGCAGAATGCAAAGTGACAACGCAACTTCAAATCTCCATCTTAGGGTATGTTAAGATTCCTGCAGTTTAGGATTATGATTGCCACCTTAAGTTTTACTTTAAGCCATCAAATTTGCCTGTGTTGACAGGAGTTCATAAGATTACTTTATAACCAGAATAACCAGAATACTCTCCTTACTGTTTTGATGTTTCCAGAGAGCCAGTTATGTTGAACGCAGGAGACCTAGAAGATCCATCTAGTTGTTTCGCTTTCCAGTGCACAGGTGAGTCTTCAATGAAAGTGCTACCAAAAGCTTGTCCTTGTCCCTGATGGCAATTTCATAAAGACACAGTTTTGAGAAAAAAAAAAAAAAAGATTTATTGCTTTGCTAGCAAAGGAGAAACACAGGGGACCCCTGTCCCAGAGGCCCATCAGGGAGAAGAGGGCTTTTAAAGAAGTTCTTCAAAGAAGTCCTCAGTGGGGGGAGGTTGTGATTCAGTTGTTAATTTGGGAGATAGCCATTCCTTAGATCTTCTGGTGCCAACCTCCAAGTGTGAATTACTTGGTCCCTTTGGTGGATGTATGCTCAAATACAGATGATGAATGAGGTCTAGGATGGGTAAAGGGTAATCCTGTTCCCTGCCACTGGGTTAGGGAGGGGGAGAGGGGGAAAAGGAAAAGAAAAACATGTCTCTTTTAAAATGAGCTGTGAAGGGTCTATTAAAAAGGTGCAGTGGACCACTGTTACAAAAGCACAAAGACAGGACCTGCTGAAAACCCTGCAACTCCCCATTTTCATGAGCTTGAAAGCCAGAGTCCCCATTAACTCTCCTGTTACTTCCTCCATTCATTCTGCTTTATCCATTCTTGAATTGTTCCTTGAACATGTCAGGTGCTCCCTGTTAGGGCCTTTACACCCACTGTGTCTCCGTATTATTAACCCCCTCACCTTTCTTAAAGTTTTGCTCAGATGTTATGTTCCCAATGAGACTTAACCCTTACCACCTTTTTTGAAAACCACAACCTTTTCCTATACTTTCAGTCCCCCTTAACCTTTTCCTTTTAAAAGTTACACATTATCTTGTAGCATACTATGCAACTTACTGATTTATGTTAGCTCCATAAATTAAACAAAATTTACATAAATTAAACAAAAGCTACACAGTCTTTAACTATTTGGTTTCCTGATAAATCCCAGGAACCTTGAACCTATCTGATAGAAAACAGGTGCTCAACAAATACTGATTGGGTGAAAGAAAAAGGAGAATTGAGCCAGACAGCACTCTCATTTCTAAGAATTATAATCAAAATGATCTTTATAACAGCAGGCTTCTGATGGAAAAAGTTAAAATAGTGAAACAGAGGAGTTTTGAGATTAGACTAGATTCCCGGTTTTGCCAATTTCCTCTGGGTTCTTGTCTCGAAAATTTTAAAGAATAAAATCCAGGGATGGTCATGCAAGGGAAGAGTAAACAGAGCAGAATTTATTTAAGCAAGAAGAGCTAGAACTCCCACCATGCAGGAGGGGGCCTAATAGCAGAAAAAACCATTTTGGTGTGCTAGCTTGGGAATTTCTATATAGTTCTGGGTAGAGCATGGAGCAAAATAGGCATTGAAAACAGCACCATGGCTATCTGGCCTTTGAATTTTGAATTTTTCATTCAACTTTCATCTGGGTTCAGTCCTACCTCTGGTTTTCCCACCTCTGGAACAAAGGAGTTGGTTGAAGTGTTTCCACAGGTGAGTCCCATGGCCTTTTACCTTTGAAATAGGCCTTGATGGTGCTCATTAATATTTCTACAGGTTGGCTTCCAGGTGTGATTTCTGCATTTGAACAAGAACTTAATTGGGGAATATCACTTCTGATTGCTGATCATTCATTTTTTTTATTCATTAGGAGAATTGAGATAGACCTTGCTCTCATTTCTAAGAAATCATAAACAAAATGATCTGTATAAAAGCAAGCTCTCTCTATGCAAAAGTTTGATATAGTATGCTATTTTTAATCACTGTCTTTTACTTTTATTCTTGCAAAATTTCAGCAAGTCCAACAGTGAAAAATTCAGCTTCCCGTTCATTCAGTTGTTCTCCTAAGAAATCTCCAGTGCATTCACTCCTGACTAGTTCAGCTGAAGAGTCAGTGGGTTCCACATCACGGTATAGATCTACCAGATCTATTCATTCACCTGATTCCGTTAAAGGTAAGAATAATCTGACATAGTTTATGGGATTAATTGATTTTTCATCTAGTGAATTTCAAGTTCTTTTCCATAGTCAGAATTAACAAGATTTTGCCTGCCGATCTTATATGCAGGCTCTAATTGATGCTGTGTAAAATGGTCTTAATTAAAACAGCCACTATGAACACATATGTAAAAGCATATGCTAGTAAAAGCATAGATATTATATGTAAGTATTTTCTCTGACATAAACAATGGATATTTCACCCTTTGGGGGGATCTCCTTTTAAATGCTCTGAGTGACTTTTCTCTTATTTACATCCTTTACAACATGGCTTTCCACCTGTTCCAGCCTTTGTAAATGCAAATTTCTATTACATAAGCCTGTCAAAATGTTCTCATTTTTAGAATTTTAAGTTCATTTGTTATTTGACAAGACAGGTGGAAAAAAATTATTTGATGTAGAATAAATGCCTGATAAATATATGGGTGTTTAATATAAGTGTGTTAGATTGAATTTGAAATGTTTCTCATCATGTATGACAGTGACCAAATCACTTCTGTGCTCTATGGCATCATTTCCATCGACAAGGGATAAATCAGATAAGCTGTTGCCTCATTGTCAAGTCAGTTCTATTGAAATTTGAAATTTCAAGTCTTTTAAAATTCTATGCAATGCACATTTCTAGATCCTAAAAAAATGAAAATCAGAACCTAATCACATCTTAGTACACTTTTTATTCACTTCTTTTTGTATTTGTGTCTTCCTTCATCCCTTATGATTCTTTTTTTAATTAATTAATTAATTAATTTGTTGTAATTTGTTATACGTGACAGCAAAATGCATTTCAATTCATAGTACACAAATGGAGCACAATATTTCATTTCTCTGGTTGTACATAAAGTAGAGTGACACATTCATTTCTTCATACATGTACCTAGGGTAATGATGTCCATCTCCTTCTACCTTCCTATACCCGTTCTCTCTCCGTTCCCCTCCCTCCCCTTTGCCCTATCCAAAGTTCTTCCATTTCTCCCATGCTCCCGCCCTTCCCCCATTATAGATCAGCATTCACTTATCAGAGAAAACATTTAGTCTTTGGTTTTGGGGAGATTGGCTAACTTCACTTAGCATAATATTCTCCAACTCCATCCATTTACCTGCAAATGCCATGATTTTATTCTCTTTTAATGCTGAGTAATATTCCAGTGTGTGTGTGTGTGTGTGTGTGTGTGTGTGTGTGTGTCACACACACATATATCACAGTTTCTGTATCTATTCATCTACTGAAGGGCATTAGGTTGGTTCCACAATTTAGCTGTTATGAATTGTGCTGCTATAAACATTGATGTGGCTGTGTCCCTGTAGTATGCTGTTTTTAAGTCCTTTGTGTATCAACTAAGGCGTGGGATATCTGGGTCAAATGGTGGTTCCATTCCAAGTTTTCTAAGGAATCTCCATACGGCTTTCCAGATTGCTGGTGGGACTGCAGATTGGTGCAACCAATGTAAAAGAGTGCCTTTTGTCCCACATCCTTGTCAACAATTATTGTTGCTTGTTTTCTTAATAACTGCCATTCTGACTAGAGATGTTGAACATTTTTTCATATATTTGTTGATTGATTGTATATCTTTTTCTGAGAAGTATCTGTTCAATTCCTTAGCCCAATTTTTAAATTATTTTTTAAATATTTTTTTGGTTGTAGATGGACACAATACTTTTATTTTATTTCTTTATTTTTAATGTGGTGCCAGGGATCGAAACCAGTGCCTCACACATGCTAGGCAAGTGCTCTACCACTGAGCCACAACCCTGGTCCCCCTTAGCCAATTTATTGATTGTATTATTTGCTTCTTTGGTGTTAAGTGTTTTGAGTTCTTTATATATCCTGGAGATTAGTGCTCTATTTGATGTGTGTGTGGTAAAAATTTGCTCCCACTCTGTAGGCTCTCTCTTTTGCTAAGAAGAAGCTTTTCAGTTTGAATCCATTCCATTTATTAACTCTTGATTTTATTTCTTGCACTTTGGGAGTCTTGTTAAGGAAGTCAGGGCCTAATCCAACATGGTGAAGATTTGGGCCTACTTTTTCTCCTATTAGGTGCAGGGTCTCTGGTCTAATTCCTAGGTCCTTGATCCACTTTGAGTTGAGTTTTGTGTGTGGTGAGAGATAGGGGCTTAATTTCATTTTGCTGCATGTGGATTTCCAGTTTTCCAAGCACCATTTTTTGAAGAGTCTATCTTTTCTCCAGTATATGTTTTGGGCACATTTGTCTAGTATGAGATAACTGTAATTATGTGTGTTAGTCTCTGTGTCTTCTATTCTTCATTGGTCTACCAGTCTATTTTGGTGCCAGTACCATACTGGTTTTGTTACTGTTGCTCTGTAGGATAGTTTAAGGTCTGGTATAACGATGCCACCTACTTAACTCTTCTTGCTAAGGATTGCCTTAGGTATTCTTGGTCTCTTTGCAGATTGGTTGGTTGAATTTCATGACTGCTTTTTCTATTCCTATAAGGAATGTCATTGGGATTTTGATTGGAATTGCATTAAATCTGTATAGTGCTTTTGGTAGTACAGTCATTTTGACAATATTAATTCTGCCTATCCAAGAAGAAAGGAGATCTTTCCATCTTCTAAGGTCTTCTTTAATTTCTTTCTGTAGCGTTCTGTAGTTTTCATTGTAGAGGTCTTTCACCACTTTCATCAAGTTGATTTCCCCAATTTTTTTTTTGAGTCTGTTGTAAAGGGGGTAGTTTTCCTAATTTGTCTTTCAGAGGATTCATCACTGATGTATAGAAATGCATTTGATTTATGGGTGTTGATTTTATATCCTGCTACTTTGCTGAATTCATTTATTAGTCCTAGACGTTTCCTGGCAGAATTTTTCAGATCCTCTAAGCATAGAATCATGTCTTTGGCAAACAGTGATAGTTTGAGTTCTTCTTTTTCTATTTGTATCTTTTAATTTCTTTCGTCTGTCTAATTGCTCTGGCTAGAGTTTCAGGGACTACATTAAATAGAAGTGGTGAAAGAGGGCATCACTGTCTTGTTCCAGTTTTTAGAGGGAATGCTTTCAATTATTCTCCATTTAGAATGATGTTGGCCTTGGGCTTAGCATAGAAAGCTTTTAAAATGTTGAAATATGTTCCTATTATCCCTAATTTTTCTAATGTTTTGAACATGAAGGGGTGCTGTATTTTGTCTAATGCTTTTTCTTCATTTATTGAGATGATCATATGATTCTTATCTTTAAGTCTATTGATGTGATGAATTACATTTATTGACTTCCATATATTGAACCAATCTTGCATCCCTGGGATGAACCCCACTTGATCATGGTGCACTATGTTTTTAATATGTTTTTGTATTACATTTGCTGGAATTTTATTGAGAATTTTTGCATCTATGTTCATTAGAGATATTGGTCTGAAGTTTTCTTTCCTTAGTGTGCCTTTATCTGGTTTTGGAATCAGGGTGAAATTGGTCTCAGAGTTTGGAAGTATTCCCTCTTTTTCTATTTCATGGAATAATTTGAGGAGTACTGGTATTCTTTGGAGGGCTTGTAGAACTCAGCTGTGAATCTATCTGCTCCTGAGCTTTTCTTGGTTGGTAGGCTTTTTTTTTTTTTTTTTTTTGAGAGAAAATTTTTTAATATTTATTTTTTAGTTCTCGGCGGACACAACATCTTTCTTTGTATGTGGTGCTGAGGATCCAACATGGGCCGCACGCATGCCAGGCGAGCGGCTACCACTTGAGCCACATCCCCAGCCCGGTTGGTAGGCTTTTGATGGCATCTTCTGTTTCATAGCTTGAAAGTTATCTGTTTAACTTGTGTATATCGTTCTGATTCAGTTTGGGTAAATCATTTGACTCTAGAAATTTGTCGATGTCTTTGATATTTTCTATTTTATTGGCGTGCAAATTTTCAAAATAGTGTCTAATTATCTTCTGTATTTCTGTAGTGTCCTTTTTTGTCATGGATTTTAGTAATTTTGAGTTTTCTCTCTCCTCTTCGTTAGCATGGCGAAGAATTTATCAATTTTATTTATTCTTTCAAATAACCAACTTTTCATTTTGTCAAATTTTTTCAATTATTTCTTTTGTTTCAATTTTATTGATTTCAGCTCTGATTTTAATTATTTCCTGTCTTCTACTACTTTTGGTGTTGATTTGTTCTTCTTTTTCTAGGGCTTTGAGTTGTAATGTTAGGTCATTTATTTGTTGACTTTTTCTTCTTTTAAGGAATGAACTCCATGCAATGACCTTTCCTCTTAGTAGTACCTTCATAGTATCCCAGAGATTTTGATATGTTGTATCAGTGTTCTCATTTACCTCTAAGAATTTTTAATCTCTTCTCTGATGTCTTCTGCAATCCATTGTTATTCAATAGCATATTATTTAGTCTCCAGGTGTTAGATTAGCTTCTATTTTTATCATTGATTTCTAATTTCATTCCATTGTGATCTGATAGAATGCAGGGTAGTATCTCTACTTTTTTGTATTTGCTAAGAGTTGATTTGTGGCATAATAAATGGCCTGTTTTAGAGAAGGATCCATGTGCTGCTGAGAAGAAAGTGTATTTACTCGTTGATGAATAAAATATTCTTTATATGTCTGTTAAGTCTAATTATTGACTATATTATTGAGTTCTATAGTTTCTTTGTTTAGCTTTTGTTTGGAAGATCTATACAGTGGTGAAAGAAGTGTGTTAAAGTCACCCAGTATTATTGTGTTGTGGTCTATTTGACTCTTGAACTTGAGAAGAGTTTGTATGATGAACATAGATGCTCCATTGTTTGGGACATATATATTTATAATTGTATGTCTTGTTGATGTATGGTTCCCTTAAGCAGTATAAAATGTCCTTCATTATCCCTCTTGAGTAACTTTGGCTTGAAGTCTACTTTATTTGATGTGAGAATATAAAACTCTGCTTGTTTACACAGTCCATGTGAGTGATATGTTTTTTCCCAACCTTTCGCCTTCAGTCTGTTAGTGTCTTTTCCTATGAAATGAGACCCAGCATATTGTTGGGTCTTTTTTTTTAATCCCATCTGCCAGTCCATCTCTTTTGATTAATGAGTTCAGGCCATTAACATTCAGGGTTATTATTGAGACATGGTTTGTATTCCTGGTTATTTTGGTTTCTTTTTGGTTTTTAACTTGACTTGGTTTCTCCTTTGATTGGTTTTTCCTTTAGTGTGATACCTCCCTTTGCTGATTTTCATTGTTGTTTTTTATTTCCTCCTCATGGAATATTTTGCTGAGGATGTTCTATAGTGCAGACTTTCTTGTTGTAAATTCTTTTAACTTTTGTTTATCATGGAAGGTTTTTGTCATCAAATCTGAAGCTTAATTTTGCTGGAGATGAGATTCCTGGTTGGCATCCACTTTCTTTCAGAACTTGGTGTATGTTATTCCAGGATCTTTTAGATTTGAGGGTCTGGGTTGAGAAATCTGAAGAGATCCTAATTGGTTTCCCCCTCTATGTAATCTGATTCCTTTCACTTGTTGGTTTTAAAATTCTCTCCTTATTCTGTATGCAAAGTATTTTCATTATAATGTGCCTTGGTGTAGATCTGTTGTGATTTTGTACATTTGATATCCTGTAAGCCTCTTGTATTTAAAAATACAGAACGCTCCACAAATTTGCATGCCATCCTTGTGCAGAGGCCATGCTAACCTTCTTTGTATTGTTCCAATTTTAGTATATGTGCTGCTGAAGAGAGCGCTTCAATGTGCTTTCTGAAAAGAAAAAACAGTCCTGGGGTACTCTGAGTCTTTTCCATCTTTGAGTTCCACTCTGCGTCCCCATCAGGATCAGACTTTCCAATCTGTCCAACAACATAGCTTCCAGGGTACTTTTGAAGTCCCCAGCTGGGATCAGACCTGTAAGTCTGTTCCAAATTGTCTGCAAATTGTCAATCATATGAGCATCTTCGGCCCCATTATGCAGTTTTCAGGGTGTTTGATAGCCCCTACCTAGGTTTTAAGAAAAAACCCTGAAAAGAACATTCCTAAGATCTCAAGTAATCTAGGTACATTCAATAATTTGCAATTTCTTGTTATTTAAAATAATAGAGAGGACACAAAACCCTGTAGAGAGCTTAGAGGCACTTTGGGATAGGATAAAGTCAGATAAGTTTTAATTAGAAATCTGTTCATATAATAGGGGTTCACTTTGTTTTGAACATAACTCTCACTGTTCTGACAACTGTTACTTATTTAAAAGCTGACTCCCCCTATTCCTAAGTAAGGGTGAAGTGACATTAGCTATTTCCCATTTTCCACCTTCGGCTAAGGTATCTGTCCTTTGGCTCACTGACCATAGGAATGGGATCATGCTTGCACGCCTAAGAAACTGTTCTCTCTCTCAAGGCCACACATAAATCATGACCAGCGCACAGCTTTGCACCACCTTTTTAGTCCCCTGTCTCCCCAACAGTGAGAATGATACTCCCTAGTATTGAATAACTTAGCTGGGGCACTTAAAGTGAGACTGCAAAGAAAGTTGAGAAAAGGGAGTGAGGAAAGACAGGCCAAGAACAAGATATTCCTTCAGTTTTAGCTGAAACTTGGGGTCAAGAGATTTATGGCACAAGCATAGAGTTGGATTTGCCACTAAGTGTACTGGGTCTAAATGTGGTGTTTAGTGGGGAGTAGTTTCCTTGATTGTTACATCAAGGCCTTTAACAATGTGTTTTGGGTGAACCCCATGTTTGGCAAAACAAAGGGATGCTCAAGCTGGGAGACAATCTCTCATATTCGTTTTAGGAAGCAATTCAAGTTCCCTTTGACTCAGGAAAGGGGTACGTTGGCCTAAGGGACTCTCCTATCTTCAGTGTTTTTATAAACAAGTACTCATCTTCTTAAGGGACAAACAGACGTTTGACCAAGGAAAGGAAGAAGAAAAAGAATAAGAACATCACCTGTTTAAGTCCCACAGAAGTTAAGAAACCTATATGATGCCCACTGTGCAGCATAAGAGCAAGAAAGGGCTTTAAGAGGATCACTGAGCTCCTTTGCAGTTTTAAAGTTCAAAGATTTACTAGATCCCTAGGACCACATCAGCCGCCACCTTATTGATATTTGAATCTACTGGGCATGGAGCTTTCCCAGCCACCTAAGAAGGGGAGCCCAGGACAAATGAGGCATATGGAGATTGTGCTCTCTGGTCTTTGAAAGTAGAAACAGAGGGAGGGGGAGAGAGAGAGTGAGAGAGAGGGAGGAAGGGAAGGAGGGAGAGGCAGATAGAAATAGGTTACAGGTACAGGAACTAAGCGAATAAGTCATAGTCAAGACACTTACCAAAGTTGATGCCTCTGAAGCCCCATCCTCAGGGGCCAAGAGATGTCACAGAAAAGATGTCTCTGAAGAAGGGTAGGAGGAGTTTCTAGAGAGGGGGAACTCAACTCAAGACCAATGGGGTACTTGGCATACATGATAGAAAAGATTGTCAGCACAAGCCAGACAAAAGCATAGACAGAAGTTTTTTTAGGAAGGTAGTACTCATTCAAAGGACAATGTGGCTGTCTCAAGAGTGAGAAGCAGCCCAAACTCAGACAAGGGGCCCAATATTTATAGAAGGGCTATATCAGGTGCCAAACTGGAGGTGGATGTAGGATGGAACCACACAATTTCAGTTTTCCTGTACTTATGTATTTCTCTCATTTTATAAGGGTGTGGGCCAAGGTTTACAACTGTGTTTTCTGCAGCTCAGTGGCTTGACTCTGCATTTCAATGGCTTGAGGGTATTTCCCTTAAGATTCCATATTTCTCTCTATATATCCTAAATCCCTATCTCAAGGAGGTGAGGCAGGAAGATCACAAGTTCAAAACCAGTCTCAGCAAATTAAGAGAGACTCTAAGCAACTTAGTGATTCCCTGCCAAAAAAATAAAAAATAAAACAGAGCTGGGCTCAGTAGTACACTCCTGTAATCCCAGTGACTGGGGCTGGGGAGGCTGGGGCTCCAGAGGCTGAGACAGGAGGATCTCAAGTTCAAAGCCAGTTTCAGCAAAAGCAAGGCACTAAGCAACTTAGTGAGACCCTGTCTCTAAATAAAACACAAAATAGGGCTGGGGATATAGCTCAGTGGCCGAGTGCTCCTGAGTTCAATCCTTGGTACCCAAAAAATAAATAAATATAAAACTATCTGGGGATGTGGTTCAGTGCTTAAGCACCCTGGGTTCGATTCCTGGTACTCCTCCTCCCCCCAAATTTAAAGTATCAAATTATTTATCTGTTAAGAGCAGTGATTATTGTAGGAAAGTTATCACTTTGTTAATTTATGTTACATGATAACTTGGCATTTTTCCCCTGTTGTTAGATAATCAGAAAACATCACGTTTCATAGCATTAATGTCAGAAACCTCTCAAGAAATTGTTTCTCATCCTCTTGAATTAAAATAATAACTAGATGATTGTCTTTAATTCTAATATCTGTAATGAAAAAAAGGTGCTTTTTAATAGCAAGATGAGCCAGCAAATAATTTTATGAAGATTATACAGCTAGTTAGGGGCTAAGATCAAAGTAGAATCTTTAGGGATGGGGGATATAGCTTAGTGGTAGAGCACTTGTTTAGCATGTGTAAGGTCCTAAATTCAATCCCAAGCACTACAAAAGAAAAATAAAAAAGAATTAAATTACTCAGCTTGCTAATCAGGTATCTTTAGAGATAGACAGGACTTAGCACATTTATTGGAGAATAGCTTTCATGCCTCGGGGTGCTTTTCAGTTGCTATTGCCACTTTTATTGTAGGTCGCTGAAGACATGGAAGCACCCACCTGACCCTCTCCCATGATGCCAATACTATTCTCATTCAGGTGACAACTAATGGATGGGCAGTGGCCTCACATATATTTGAAAGCAGCGCCAATGTCTGAATTAGATCTTGCTCCCCCAAGCCCTAAGTTAATAGAACTAGTCAGGTTTGGCATGAAAAGCTGTCATTTACAATGCAGAGTATGTCATTAATTAAACTTGAAGTATTCTCACCCATCCCATTTAATACTATGTAGTTAAATAATAGTGAAGATTGGAAACAAAATAAAATAGACTAGCATTGTGATATTTATATAGGAGACAATTTCCTTATCTTAAAAGTGTTTTAAAGTTTTCTTTATTTTTAAGGAGAAGTCATTTAACCTGAAATTGCAAATATACTTTAGATATCACATTTAAGCAATTTTCTAATAGATTCACAGTCTCCCCCACTAGAAACAACAGGAAAAACATGCAGAAAACTTCAGAACAGATTGGAAAGCTTGCAAACCCTGGTAGAAGATTTGCAGCTGAAGAACCAAGGTACATTGCTTATTTTGGGAGAGTTCTTGTTCCTAAGAGTACTTACCTTCACTAGGCATGGTGACACACACCTGTAATCCCAGCAGCTCATGAGGCTAAGACAGGAGGATCACAAGTTTGAAGCCAGACTCAGCAATTTAGTGAGACCCTAAGCATCTTAGTAAAACCCTGTCTTAAAATAAAAAATAAATAAAGGACCAAGGATGTAACTCATTGGTTAAAGCACCCCTGGGTATAAATCTCTGGTTTAAAAAAAAAAAAAAAGAATCTTTGCCTTCCCTTCAGATTAATTCTCCTAGCTATAGAGCCATTAAAAGGTATTGAATTAGCAATTTAGAAACTTTATTCAACATTTGAGCATCTCAGCCATGACCAACCCCTACATTAATTGTCTGATCTTGGTCCTGCTCCACCCTACTCTTATCTGATAGGGATGACAATTTTGCTGACCAACCCTCAATAGGGTTGAGAGGTTTTTCATGTGAACTTTCCTGTACACTGTCCTTCTTGTCTATTTTTTCTATAAACAGACACTTGTATAATGGTAGCCAAAATAGAATTAGAGTTCATAGCCAGAAAACAAAATAATGATATTTAGCCTACACATAATTTAAATTAGTTTAGAGCTATAAGAGACTATGTCACCCAATGAATGAATCACAAAATAAAAAGTTAATCCACTTGTAAAAATCTGAAGCCATTTGAATGAGAAACTACTACAATCTGCAGATGATGGGCAGCTCTTGCTAAATACCATGGATATGGGAGAACTATCATGTTTCATGCTTTTCTGTTTCATAACTCTACCTTTCAAAAAATATGCTCCATTGCAAATTTTCACAATTTCTTAATTCTATACTGTTAAAAAGTGAATCTTTAAAGAAGCACATAATTTAAAACCAAAGTAGATTTTCTTATTCTAACTTTGTTTTATCAACATTTTCAGCAATGTCTTCAATGATCAGAAATCAAGAAAAGAGGATACAGAAAGTGAAAGACCAGGAAAAAATGTTACTGAAATGACACATTGCTTGCCTATTCTTTACAGAGGGATGATGCCCAATTAATTGTGCTGTTACTTTAATTAGTGCCCTGTGTGCTTTTTTTCTTTTTATGTGAAAATTTAATAAAAGATACCTGTCCTGTAAAAATCTACTTTGAATCAAACTATTCTTGAGTGCTCTCACAGGAAAACTTCAGACAATACTAGCTATATTTGAAAGTATTCATATATTATGACGTGTTCATTTGTGCTAGTTCCAGTGTACTGGAATAACTGTGTGTGTTTTGTTATCTTTACTGGCTCTAAGACATTAGGGTTTTTTTTTTTTTTTCAGCTTAAAAAATGCCTGGGGTAAAATGTGATTTCATGTGGAAATGAAGTGGCATAATGCCAAGGACAGGACAAACTCCAGCAGGGCCTTCTTTTGTGACTCTGAACTCACTGTTTGTCCTGTCAATATAAGTGAAGGTAATCAGATAACAAAACTTTGGGGCCCTTAGTCAAAACTTTCAGAAGTCTTTATTAATTACCAAAGAAAGTAAATATTTTTGTTACTCTTCATCAAGTGAGTAGAAACTTCTAGGTTGAAATAATTCAGTCTTGCCTTAATTAGAATTTAATAAATTAGGAGGGTTTGCTTGTGTACCAAATACAATGAGACAAGAAGAACAGAAATAAACATGTTTCATTTGTGCCAAAACATCAGGGACAATTTGGCAGAAGGCTAACTGTTCAAAAAGTTGTGCTCCTGTTTCCCCATAGAGAACAGTTGTCTAGCAGACAGTCTATTTTCCAGTTCCACCTCCTTTACATCTAGTTTTGGTCACCTGACCAGCTCTCACTAATAGAATGGAAAGTGGGAAGAATACTATGTGGCACTTTCAAACAAAAAGTGTTAATATGCAATTTTCCTTGCTTTATTTTCCTCCCATAGCTGGATGCAGAGGACGGGAAGAGTCCTCATGGATATTAGCACCATAGGGCAAAAGGGAGCCTAGGTGATTTACTCTGCAAGGAAGAGAGCAGCCGTGCTGCTGAGACCCACTAACTGGTACAGGGACAAGAACTGGGCATCTGGTGTTGCTGCCTTCCATGATAGCCTGGAAACACAGCTTGCTGGGTCTAGCAAATGGGCTGAGGACGCGCATGCTCTCAAAACCCTATTGCCACATCCCATTTTAAATGATTTTTTAAAACAAAGTTTAATAGTCTATGTTAATCTCTTAAGTCTGTTGGCTTTAGTGAAAGATTTTTATTTCATCAGATAATAAAATGGCTGACAGAATTCTAAAAATATTTTTATTTAAAGTGTTTTATCTTTAATTTTACCTTATAGGAATGCTTGATTATGTGCATTAATGATAAATGCCTTCTGCAAACCTCACTGGTATAATACAAAATTTGTTACCAAGTATGTAAGCAGTATATATGAATTTAACATACAGTACTGTGAGCCCCAAACTGTCAAACAGCTCTGTTTAGCACTTTCTAATGCTACTTTCTGTTGGGTTTATGTTTTTTTCAGCAAAGAGTTTTACTAGGATTATTGTTTCACCAATAGATGTTACACTTACTAAAAGTCATTTTAACATATAAGAATTCATTTTCAAGTACAGGCATGCTGAATTTCCCTCCAAGCAAAAGTTTTAAAAGAAATATTTTAAACTTTTTCTCCAAAGAGAGGAGAAAAACAGACTCTTCATACTTAATTTGATTTTTTTAAATGTGTCTCTTATTGAAGAAAATATTAGTATTTTATTTTACATGTATGCTATTATGGTACTAAGAATTAGACAAGTAATTCAGACATTTAACAAGGTTATTAAAACTCAAATTTTATTCTTTATTCAGATACAATAACTTAAAGCTTAAATGTCTCCTTTCAGAGCAAAGATATACTTTTGTCTCACTGACCTGGGTAAAATTTGTCACCTGAGATACTACTGGGATGAAAGGAGTGGGAAGGGGGCGAGGGATGGAAACAGTTGCAATGGGACAGTCCATCTGTTGAGACCTGGTGAGAGAGGGCAGCACTGAGCAGGGAGATGGTCCTAAGGGGCTCCCAGAGTAAGTGATGGGTCAGCCAGGCTGAACCTGGACCTCCTGGTCCTCTAGGAGGTATCCCTCACCTCAGGCCCCCTCACTCAGCCTGCATCTGAACTTCATTTATATTCCCTTTCTCATGGGGATGTTCCCATGCCTGACTTCCTTGAGGGTAGACTCTGATCATTAAGACAAAGACTTCAAATCCACACCTGGCAGGCAAAAATCAGACAAAAACCCTGGGGAGTCTCAGAACTTTACCTCAGATCCTTACTAATCACACATACTGACCAGACATTTTTCTGGTCACAATTCCATATGGAGTTAACTATTTTAAATGTAAAATGTGTGAAGAGAGTTTCTTCAGCTGTTTCCAAAGAGACTCGTTTATTGCCTTGGTCTCCAGAGTGCCTGTAAAAGCTCAAGCTTGAATCAGTGGAGCTGGTTAGTGTCTGTGCTTCCTGACCACAGTCCACACCTGAAGTTTAGCTAACTCAACCCCCACCCCAAGGCCGAGCCCCAAGGTAATGATTTATCAGCACAGGTCAGTCAACCCAAGCCACAGGAGAAAAAAAGTCCATGCTCACTGGAAACATTATCTGCATATATATATTTCTGACATCAGACAAAAGCCACTAGCGAATTCAAAACAGCTCTGATGGCTAAATTTGGAGTCACGCTGCCTTTATTTTAAATTATTCAGTGTGCTCCATAGCCTCAGCCTTTTCTACATTCTGCTACAGCCTGTTATTTGGCAGGCAGAATCAGTGAATCCCCCACAAGCCCTGAACCACTTTATCCTCATGACCAGTCTCTAAGAGTCTATTGCTGCATTCTTCCCAGCGAGTAACTCCCCCATTCTCTACCAACACAAACTTCCACTCCACCACTGTATCTGCTGGCAGGAAAACAGAATGAGACCAAAACCCATCCTGGTGATAGTGGAGAGGGATGTAAGTATTCCATCTCCCAAGATTCTCGTGGTCTCCAGTTATTGCGATGAATTGACTATCAGTGCCCGTGATGTAATGTACCTGAAACCTGATGTTAACTTGCCGAGACTCTGAAGCTATCGTTGCGACCTTTTTTGCTTTCCCATTCACTTCCCAACCTCTTGCCTCCACACGAGTGCTTCTGCCACTGTCCATTGAGGCCTCAAGACTGCCACCCAAACCCACATCTCCCCAAGATGAGTGCCTAGACACCATTTCCCAGTCCTCATGGTCAGTGAGGTCCTGACTGTTCAAGTGTGCAAGACTCACTTCTGTAGCTCTGTCCATGAGCAGGTTGCTAGAGGGCAACTTCTCTGCAGATGATGTAGCTGCTTTAGTGGGTGTGTCATGTTCTTTTTGGAATTTCTGTTCTCCTCTGTGAGATTCAAGGCTTTTATTTCTTGAAACTTGAGAGTAACCACTGGAGTTGGCAATCTCAGAGGTAGCTAGAGACTGTGTGTCTGGGATCTGTCTAGCAGGAGCAGGCTGTCTTGCACTGTCCCAGTATTCTCCGGAAGGATTCTGTGGTCTCTGTGATGCTTCCTGTAGGTTACCAAGACCTTTGGTCTCAGAAATCAAATGTCCATTGCTTTCTTGAAGATGCTCTAAGGAACAAAAGGAAAAATGTACCATGTTAGGCAGTTCACAAAAGAAAGACTGAGAATAGAGACTGTTATTGAAGGCTTTACTATAACTCTGCAGTTCACCAAGTCTCTTAAAATCTAGTACATATTTATCTGTTGTGTTCTAAGAATATACATGTCTATCTGACAATAAAAGGCACATCCAGGAGCATCAGTGAGAGAGCAGAAGACTGTAAATGAGGTGGCAAGTTGGAAAGGCAGAAGTGTAAACCTGTCCTCAGCCTGGCACAGTCCTGTCAGAGCTGGCATGCAACCAAGTCAAGTTGTTAGGCTCCTATCATCAAAAATGCTGTCCAAGGGCTGGAGCTATAGCTCAGTGGTAGAGTATATGCTTCGTATGTGCAAGGGCGGGCACACGGACACACACACACACACACACACACACACACAGAGCAAGGATCTGCCCTCATGTGGTGAGCAGATCAGGAGCCATTACTAAGGGAACAGCAAGGGCAGTGCATGATTGGTCAAGGTAAGGGATGAGGTGAACTGTCAGTGGGGGTGAGCTAGTTTCTCCTTGCCAGTGCCACAAGTATTTCTTTAGTGGGAAAAAAAAAATCTTTTTGCAGCCCCTTCCACTATTCATACTTAAAAAAAAGGGGGGGGGGTCTTAAAACTACACAAATCAAGTCTCCTAAAGAATTTCCATCTTGTTGGTAATCCAAATAGTTCCTTACAAGACCGAAATCTTCAAAATCATACAATCAGCCCAAGTGGTGTATTTGAGGGGAAAGGGAAGGGCAGTCTGGTTTCATTTTACCTCTTTTTTCCCCCCAGTGGTGGGGTTGGAAATGAGATGTCAACAAATATTACTCTGAATTTGCAATTTTTCTACCTAAAACATGAGGCTGATCTTTAGGGGAAAAAAGGTAATCCCAAACTGATGGCAGGAAAGGCACAGCAGAATTTTTTGTAGCTACAAATGAACACGCCACTAAAAATAAAGTTCGCAGATGTCATTTTCACCATTAGGCTGCTGTCCATGACAGGCTGTTTGCCAGGGAGGGCACTGGAAGGTGGGTTTTGTGCCAGTGCTCGCTCTTTGACTATCTTCTCTAAAACACATAGGTTTGAACCTAGATGTCGATTCTACTCATCAGAGTTGGGTCGCCTGTTAAGAGTGCCTTCCCAAGGGGGATTAGATCACCCTCCGCTGTTCTAGAGGGCCGCGTGTGAGGGTTGGTAATTCTGAAATGGGCTCAGGGCTTCAGCTGCAGCGTTCCTGGCTGGAATCCAAGCTGAACTTTGCCTTCCTGTAGAAGCGTCCAGATAGCAGGAGGGGCTCACGGCGCATCTCTAGTGTGGGGTGAGAGGGCGTGGGGCTATGGGACTGGACTCAGAAAAAGTCCCTGCTCGGCCAGAAATTGAATAGGGTTGTGGGATGCCCCCCAAACCTAGGACTGCCTTTCCGAAAAGCCGGGAAACGGCAACGCAACAGCAGCCACCCGCACCGCACCAAGCGCGGTCAA